GCCTACCATTTCTGAGTGTGCGACTGGCACAGTTCAAGGATGCTAGTTGAGATAGTGGGTTTAAACATTTACCATAGTATTACGGGCCCAGTAATCTAACACAATTTGATTTATGTTGGCTTGTGTGGAAATCACTTCTCTTTTTGCGAAGCATATGATTGGGGGTGCAGTACCAGTTGAGCAGTGCTAAGTACCTTCGGAAATCACACCGTGAGTTGTACGATCTCTGATATCATTATATCACAATCTTACACCATCGATCCAAGGTCCTCTCTCTATTTTGGGCCTTCAGAAATGGTGAATGATTTATTGTATCCTATTTTCTGCACAAAGAACAGGAAGATAGGGATGTGTCTATTGACAAACAAAATAGTGACGATTTTGACTCGAGTGGACGTAGCCGGAGATACAGATCGAGATTGGCGAGGAAGGCCAGAAACGCCACAGAGTAGTTTTGCAGAGTACCTATTCTTACAACACTGCAAAGGAATAAATTCCTGGTGCTCATCAAGTACTGAGTTACTACTTGAGGTGTTTTAAATAGTCCCCAACTCTAATGATGCGTGTATATGCTGCACTGATGTTGTCATTGTTCTCTCAATTAATGTTTAGGCATGACCCTGATACTATCAACCATCTGAATCGCACGAATACTACTTCTGCTGTACCCAGCGTATAGTCAAAATCTATGACTAGTATCTGTCACTCCTCATCTGCATAAATATAACACAGCGGCCAACTCTTTGTATCAAGCACCATCCTCGTCGCCACAGGCACGCTGTGAACGTCAAAGGGCATAAGATAATCTAAATGCGCATGAAAGTCGTAGCTTGGATCACTCATGTTATTCGGCTTTAATGGGGCGCCAGAGAAAGCGGCGAAGTTTGATGGGTGGTGGCGCTGCCACTTTACAAGTTGTCAGTGAGTTTGGGTTGCAGCAGACTTATGAATCAGGATAGCAGCATGGGGTATTTTGACGTACCTCACTCCACAAACGGTCAAGCTGGACATGATGCAGCCAAAATAGAGGATCATTTGGCGTAAAGCCTAATGCCATACCCTTGCAATCCTCTTTTGCCAGTGCCTTCGGGCAGTCTCCCGCTAGATCGCCCCCAATAAAGTCGTGTAAGTGGTTGTGCATTTGTGTCATTGAGTACTGAAACCGAAAGAAATCGCCCTTGGTTTTCTCGGTCGCGTTGCGCACAAAATCTGGGCCAAGAGTGCGGTTTTGAGGCCGCTCATTGGGATACCAACCCGTCAAGAGGGTCAGATTCCTTCTCAGTGAGTGTGGGATAGGCCAGGCAAGCTTGAAGTTTCCAGTGGACAAGCCAAAAGCGCCCGTAATGACGGTACAGTCCGCCTCGGGAGAGGAATCGCAGTCTCCCGTGTTGCCGAGCCCGTATACCGGCGAATCCTCGAATACTGGCGAATTGAACAGGTCTGCATGATCGCGCGACCAGTCCCAGTATGGTGTTGGCCCGCTGTAACCGCAATTGTGACGGAGGGAGGCGTCGAAGAGGTAGGTAAACCAGCGGTCTATGCTCATGTGAGCATGTGCTTGTGGGTAGATAACAGCAGAAAGGGACGAGAGAAGGGAATGATTGAGGGAAGAAACGCACGCCACGGCAGGAAGTAAGCATTCCTATGCACACTTTGCTCCAATGCTGCGTGCGAGTAAGAGAAGTCGTCGTACAGGCTCCGCTTCCCATGAAGCACCGTCTGATCATTCTTCAAAGATAATCGTTCGTGTCGTATACTTGCCAAACACTGGTCGGCATTAGGAACGTACACATGACTGATGGATGGAAGGAGAGCCCACCTTGACAGCCCCCACCCATTCTGCTTTCTCACTATATGTCAACGTCCGCCACTCTTTGCGTGTCAGCAGCTCGCTACACTTTTGGGGTTGTGCCTCATTCCCTTCGAGCGCGTATGAGTGAGGGACGCTGGGGAAGACGGCGAGCATACATAGGATCAGATTTAAAATGCCCATTGCCGTCATGCAGCCAGCAAGGAGACAAAGAGCAAGTGCGAGGGCCAGAGGTCGAGACAGTAGCTGTAATGGTACCTTAGCAACCGAAAACCTACCTAAATAATCCGCGACTTGTTCATCTTCTCTTACAGCATCTTTATTACTGAGTGAATGACTTTCCATTTACTCCTGGAATTTACGCTACAGGTGGACCTGATGAACCCAAGTCAACTGGAGACTAAGCTACCGCGAGATTACGGAAGTAGTGTATCTCGTGTCAATCTACGCTAATACTAACTACCAGTATTTAACGTTGGTTAGCGCGAGAGTTGCAAACTTCCAAAACTCTTTAAACTTTGAAACTCTCTGAACTATCCGGACCTTCTCGAAATGCTAAAACCTTTGTACCACTTACTATGAAAAAGCTTGTGCGGATCATACACTAGTAACATTCCATAGTAAACGCCGTGTGCATACGTCTGTCACCGAGTGCATAGATTTTGGCGCGTGCTTGAGTGACCTCCATACCCCTACAGCTCACCCTTTTCAATCTCTCCAGAGTGTAGAGAAACTTGGAGGGTTTCCCTTACTTTAAGTGCACACATAGCCTATGTTTAATAGCTCAAGATCGACGCAATTTGCAGTCAAGTAAAATACCTGGTCCTGCGGATCTACTGATTTACAGCCGGACAGACTTGAATACATACCATAATATCGCATGTCCCGTAGTAACTGGCCTATGGAACCACAGACTTCCTATTACCGGTATAGTCTTACTTCAGCCCTCAAAGAACTAAAGAGCCATGTGCTTTCGGAACAGACTTTAGCGCTGCCTTGCTCAGTAGTTTCACAGTTTAGCTCAAGTTCGGTCGCGCCGCCTGTCAAATTTTTTAGTGGAGCATCTAGATTATGAGTTGCCTTAGATATGGAGCAGCCGCAAAATGTAGTCCTGCTTACGAAATTTTTGCAAATCTTAGTTCGCGTGGCGGCAACTTCCTAATTTATACCGAATCTGACCGTACCAATACTGCATAGATAGTCTTCTTAAACCTTAAAACATGCATCAGCGGTTCGGTCGTATCTCGTTTCAATAGCCACGAAACAGAAATGATATAGCATCCATTCTGAAATGCTCTAACCCTATACATAATGACGTCAGAAGACCTGACTACTACTAGTATGCACATCTTTCACCAAATGATGCGATACTGTATCATCTGCTTGTGTTGCCTTTCTTGCCTTCTCACCCTTCCATACTGCTCCTGACGACAAAACCCTCCCCATCTACGTCCATCTAAAATCAAAAGCAGAAAGATGCGCACCTCGATCTATTTTACCCGCTTTCTTACTCCACTCTTCTGCATCATTTTCCCTATGTATATCGCCCTGCGAGGCCTTGCCTCGCTGTCTGATCTCGTTCTTCTCCTCTCTTCCATCTCTGAGCGTGCTGAAGCCCTTCAAATCGCGCTCGCTTCACCGCCTGCTTGCCCTCTCCCACCAATCCTTACAGAAGGCTTCGAGCCCTCTATCAAGCGCGTCAATCCTGCCCGAGAGGCGGAAGGCGGAATAAAGAAGACACGCTCCTCTGTCCCGGTCAGATTGGCGCACACCATCAACTCCTTTGAACAGTATCCGACTCTCGCTAAAGGGGTGCTCGAGCGGAAGCATGGGCGATATGCCAAACAGGCACCCGCACAGAAGGCCATCAGTGATGAACTAGGCTATCCTGCTCACTTTGAGAAAGCCAGGAAAGGGGTCGAGATGAACGCCCGGTTGGCGGAACAGGTTGCGAAACTTGCGAGACAGGATTACCAGACCGGCCCACAAGCGCTTGGGGACGAGGATGACGCAGATTTTGGTGCTGTGGACAACGCATTTCTATTGCTCTCGCGAGACTGGAGTGCCTATGGCGCACTGGAAAGGCAGGCTGTATTTCCACCTGTGCTGAATGGGCTCCAGCAACATTTTGGTGAGAATGGAATAGGGAAGAAGGTGCTTGTTCCCGGCAGCGGTATGGGTAGGCTTGCAAGTGATATCGCTGATGTCGGTACGTCCATATATTTTATTGAGCTGAATGCATGACCTTACATCGACGCAGGTTACGACGTTACGGCCAACGACATGGACTACAGCTCTATCCTGACCTACCATCTGCTAACGAACAATACAAATTCGCTTCACCAGCACACCGTCCAGCCCTTTGCAACAAAATGGACACATCAGGCTAACCCTTCCTCACGCTACACTACCTTAACCGTGCCTGACCACATGCCGAACAAGACTGTCAAGCTCGTGGAGGGCGACTTTTTTGAGCTGTTCCCCCAGGACGGTGAATTTGACGCAATCGTCTCGCTGTTCTTTATCGACATTACGGAAAACGTAGTTGAAGTTCTGAGCGAAATCCATCGGCTGCTGAAGCCTGGTGGAGTGTGGATCAATATTGGACGTATGCTACCCTCCCTACCGCTTTCCTCCAAACACTAATCTTTGCTTTTCTTATGATGTACTCACTGTAGAAACCGGGCTGACATGTGTACAGCGCTGAAATATGGCCCCCACACTGCTCTCCAGCTCTCCGCAGAGGAAGTGCTTCAGCTGGCAGATATGCTCGGGTTTGATGTGGACCTTGCGTCAAGGAAGTCCATCGATAGCTTGTATAGCTCGCAGCCGGATCTGTTGTTGAAGTACACTTATGGTGAGTTCCTACTGTTTTCTTGGAAGAAGTGATCACAATTACTGATGAGATGGGCAGTTACTCAGTTTTGGTCGGCAACAAAGAGGCTTCTCA